TCCAAAGTTTGCTCTTCTTTATCAAGATTATTTTGCCTATTCTGATTCTCTTGAATTTTTTATTTTAGGATTAGTTTGTCAATTTCTGCATAGTCAGCTAGATTTTTGATAGACAGGGATTGCATCAAATCTATAGATCAATGTGGGGAGTATCACCATCTTAACAATACTAAGTTTTCCAATTCATGACACAGAATGTCTTTACATTTATTTAGATGATCTTTAAATTTTTTCAACAATATATCATAGCTTTCAGAGTATAAGTTTTCTTAAATTTATTTCTAAGCGTTTTGTTTCTAGTTAAATTATGTCTAAGTATTTTATTCCTTTTTGATGATAGTGTAAATGGAATTTCTTACTTTCATGTTCTGATTGTTCAATGCAAATATATAGAAATACAACTGATTTTTGTATGTTGATCTTGTATCCTACAACCTTGCTGAATTCATTAGTTCTGTTTGTAAATTTTTTAGAATTTTCTATATATAAGATAATGTCATCTGCTAATAGAAAGTTTTCCTTCTACCTTTCCAATCTTGATGTTTTTATTTTCTTACCTAACTGTCCTGACTAGAACTTCCAGAATTGTGTTAAATACAAGTGGCAAACACAGAATCCTTGTCTTGTTCCTGACCTTAGGGGCAAAGATTTCAGTCTTTTACAATTAAGTACATTATCTGAGGGTTCTTCACAGATGCCCTCTATCAGGTTGAGGAAGTCCATTCTAGTCCTGATTTGTTGAGTGCTTTTATATCACAAAGAGGTATTATATCATGTCAAATACTTTTTTCTACATCTGTTGCTATGATCAAATTTTTTTTGTCCTTTATTCTATTAATATGGTCTATCATATTAATTTTCAGATATTAAACCAAACATTAATTCCTAGGATACACTCAGTCATGATGCATAATCCATTTCATATGTTAATGGATTTGGTTTGCTAGTATTTTATTGATAATGTTTACATCTGTATTCATAAAAGATATTGGTCTGCAATTTTCTTGTGATGTCCTAACATAGCGTTAATATCAGGGTAATACCAACTCAAAGCATGAGTTGGTAGTGTCCCTTTTATATTTTGTAAGGGTTTGAGAAGAATTCCATATTAATTCTACTTTACATATTTGGTAGAATTTTATCAGTGAAACCATCTAGTCCTGGGCTTTTCTTTGTGAGGTTTTTTTTTAAAATATATTTTTATTGATTTCAGAGAGGAAGGGAAAGGGAAAGATAGAAATATCAATGATGAGAGAGAATAATTGATCGGCTGCCTCCTGAACACCCCCTACCAGGGATCGAGCCTGCAACCTGTGCCCTTGACTGGAATCGAACCCAGGACCCTTCAGTCCGCAGGCCGACGCTCTATCCACTGAGCCGAACCGGCTAGGGCTGAGTTACTGTTCATTACTAATTCAATCTCTTTACTTATCTATCCAGATTTTCTATTTCTTCAGCTGTTATTTCAACAATGATTTATGACCTGGCAACCTTATATGGCACAGGTAGTAAGTATCCGGCACTCCCAAATACACAAGCTCTTGACCTACTTACCTACACTGCAATCCCTATATCACAGGTGGGGAAATTATGTGACTTTGGACAATCTGTTCTGATGCAGATAGCCAAGCCTAAACCCCTTCTCAGGTGCATTAATGGTTGCTAGCATTTTCCCAGTATTTCCTGGTGGACAAATGTGGTAGGAAGTGAGTGGAGCAACAGGCCATGTGTACTCTGGTGACAAGGTAACAAGAAACTAGAGAAACGTTTTCACTGCAGCAACTTGAGGAATTTGATGAACTGTTCAAAACCACTCCTGCAGTCTCCTTGTCCTCCTCATCCAGCACATCTTTACACATGACATTAGCAAGTTTTTAAAGGCACCATATTTGTCACTCTATCCTTATGTGCTCAAAATATTAAATCAAAATAATGAGACTGTGGTCTCTGATTTCAAACCCACTACCTGACCTGGCTGGCGTGGCTCAGTGGTTGAGCATTGACTTATGAACCAGGAGGTCAAGGTTCGATTCCCAGTGAGGGCACATGCCCAGGTTACAGGCTTGATCCCCAGTATGGGGCATGCAGGAGGCAGCCAATCAATAATTCTCCCTCATCATTGCTGTTTCTATCTCTCTCTCTCTCTCCTTTCCTCTCTGAAATAAAAAATATATATTTTTTAAAAAAACACAAATCCATTACCTGTGTGTCACTAACAAGTTTTGTGGTTTTTGTTTTGTTTTGGGGTTTTTTTGGCCTTTCTGGACTTTAGTTTCTTACCCATAATGGGCAAAAATTACATATACCCCAAAGTACTGTTTTGATAAGTAAATAATACATATAAAAATGCATGGAACAATGGCTGACACCTTTACCTATCATATCATATAGTAAACCATGCTGCTAACAAAACACATCTGATCTTAGCCCCCAAGGTAGTTCCAGGTTGTTGGGAGGTAGAAGGAGTGCACTTCCTATACTCTCTGCACGGGGTAGAAGATCTACGTACTGCAACTGCACAGATCATGAGAACAATGAGCTTCTCCATTCTCAAGGAAATCACCCGGCAGAACACCACAGTGGTGGGAGGTAACAACCATACTTAAAATCACAGCCTCGGGAATCAGGTGGACCTGTGCTCAAAATCTGACTCCACCTTATATTGGCTGTTACCTTGAGCAAGACACTTACCTTCTCTGAGCTTTTCATTGGTAAAATGGGGAAAATAATACTGACTCCAAGGAGATTTGATGAAGATTAAGACTATTTGTAAAATGGCAAGCATAAAATAGCCACTTAGTAAACAAAACTGCTTTTATTAGTTTTTTAAATTTTATTTTAATTTAAAAATTTGTTTCATAAATAAATAAATAAGAAAACAAGGGCTCAATGGTGGTCCAGGGCTTCTCAATCCTGACTATATATGTAACTCACCTGGAGAGCTTTGAAAAGTAAGGTTGGCTAAACTTCACTTAAGACTAATGGCATTAGCCCTAGCCTGTTTGGCTCAGTGGATAGAGCGTTGGCCTGTGGAATGAAAGGTCCCAGGTTCGTGGCTAAACTTCACTTAAGACTAATGGCATTAGACTCTCTGAGGCTGGGCCTGGACATCGGCATTTTAAATGCTCTCTAGGTAATTCCAATGTGCAGTTGGGAGTGAGAACCATATAGCTAGCCAGAAAAGAAGTCCTGCTTTTTACCATCTGCAACTAATTTTTCTGATTAACGGCTACTCTCCTTACAAAATAAACCCATATATACCTTCTCAAATCAGAATAGTACCTGATGGTGAAATAGAAGCTAAGACAATTTGAACAATTCACAGAGAGGCAGGTTTAAAACTCTAGTCAGGCCCTGCAGCCCAGACCTCTTATTCAAATGCATTTCTACCGACCACTATTTCCTCAGCACAACAGCAAACCTAGTCACGACATGCCCCTCATTAAAATCCTTTAATGCACTTACCGCCTTAGAACACAGTCCAGACTCCTTAATGGGAACACCACCCTTCAGAGCCTGGCCCCACAGTGTGCACGGTGAGGATGAGTCGCACACACCCGTGCTCTGGTGCTGGTCTAAACAGCCAAACCACCAACCACCCAAGGAGACAGTGCTCAGTCTCAGTGTCCAGTTAACATGCCCAAGAGACACGTGTTAATACAAAGAATGCAATATGAATGGTAGCCCCTGGAACTGTGCAACGTGGCAAGGCTGCCGGCCCCGTTTCTCTTTCCAGCCTCACCTCTCTCTGATCCCCTCTGTGCCCTCACACTCACTGTCCCTTCTCTCACTTCATCACCTTAACACACGCTTTTCCCTCAGCATGAAACATTGGTTCCTCATTTTACAGACTTTAATGTAAATGTCATTTCCTAGAAAAAGTCTTCCCCAACCACCACCTCCACCTCCACCACCAACAACAACAAAGTCCCCCGCCCCAGGTTAGATGCTGCTGCTACAGCTTCACTTTTACATCCCAGGGCTCTCACACATCAGTGCTACTGAATGCAAGGACCACGTTGGTCTTGCTCGATTCCCAGGGTGTGGCGCCTAAACAGGGTTTGATGATGGTGGAGTTAAGAGGGGCCCACAAACAACTCGGTAATTGACTCACAACAAAAGGTTATTCTCCTAACTCAGGTCTCACTTTCCACATCCTCTAAGGTGAACTCTGTGGAAAATGTTAAAAACTGTTGAATCTGGTTGTTGAATATACAATGATCTGTTCTTCCAATTTTTTATAAATTTGACAATTTTCATAAACTTTTGGGGTAAAAATATAGTGAATTCTACTTCCATTCCTAATCCTTTCTTTCCTGCTAAATATTATTTAGCTACAGGATGCCTAGCAACAACCTGTCATATCCATGTTCCCACCACCTGATGGTAGGGCCATCAGGTAGAGAGTACCAACCTGCTGGTAGCCTAAGAAAATACTACAGAAACCTTAGGGTCTGCTAACAAAAAAGCAAGAAGCTTCTGCCATAAGCCAGATCCTGGGTTCCCACAAAATCCTGAGATTCCATCAATTTCCTTTGATAGTCTTTCCTAGAGAAGAGAATGGCTGTTCAGGTCTGAGAAGAGGAAGAAGAAAAGGATACTGGAAAGGGTGAGCAAGCTGCAGGAGGACATGGCAGTGATCTATTAAGTCACCAGGTGAGTGACATCAGCTTGCTCTGGTGCTGGCCTAGTAGCCAAATCACCAACCAGCCAAGCATGCTCACTTCCAGCAACCACCTAATGTGCACAAGACAGAACACTGTTAACACTAAAGAGAAAGCCCCCATTCAGATGGCCATTCCCAAAAGACTGTGCACCATAAACAGCTCTCTCTAGAAAAAACCCTGAGAAACGCATTAACTGCTGAAGTTCAATAGATGAAGAAAGTAGCCGTGAACCCCTCACTTCCCTAGCCCCTCTGTTCCCTCCTGAACAGCATTCCTGAGGCAGAGGACGGGAACGTCCACGTGGCTGTCCTAAGCTCTGACACTTGCCATTACCTCTTGCTGCTTCTCCTCATTGGGGTAGGTGTCTACAAATACTCCCAGCCCCACAAATTTGTCCATGTTTCCAAACACAGGCCCTAGAGAGAGAGAACAGATGATGAACAATGAAATAAAGCTAAGAGTTGATAAAGGAATAATATTCACTATGATGGAGGAAAAGGTAAAATTCAAATGACTCTCAGGCCTCAATTAAGACAAGAAAACATATGTAAAAGCACCCAGGAAAGTGCATGGCCTGTAGCAAGCACCCAGTAACCAGCTGTAGTTGTTATGAAGGCAGGGGAAAGAGAGAAGGCCACTGTAACCTTGTTTAGCACTACAGCTGCTCCCTGATCCCGACTAGTTGCTAAGGCGCCCCTAAAGAATTCTGCCTCACAAACACTTGGTGATGACCATGCCCCTAAGAGAGATCTGAATTCCCAAGTTGGACTTCTTATTGCCAAGGAGATCAGGTTGAATGAGGTGGAGTTTGCCATTTGCTTTGGGCAATGGCTCCCACACAGCGGGGAAAATAGACACTCTTCTCCCAACTCAGGAGTGCTGAGAGGGTCACTGTGAAGGCCAGAAGGAATCTGCTCACCCAGTCATCAGTGTTCAGGAGAGCCAGTGCTTCCACCTAGTCAACAGGCCAGGTGGGTTCACAGGGAAATAAGAAGGATCTAATAAGCAAGAAATCAGCCCAGGATGAGTCAAGTTCAGCTCCTTACGAGGACTCAGACCCCATTCTAGAGACTAGACAGGCCCGTCTTCATCCACAGACATCAAGGGAGAGGGGAAACTGCTGATATGTAGGGACATACCCTTCTCAAAAAGAGGGCACATGAAAAAGCAGGTCAGTCACACCCTACACAAGAGCAACCCAGGGTCCCAATACCTGGCTGCATCCGATCCTTTGTGTACCAGATTGCCAAGCCATCCCCATGTAGATTCTTCTTCCCTTGTCCATGGATTTTGAAGTGCACCTGCAACTCCCAGTCTCTCAGGAAACATGGCTGAAGTGAAAAACAAAAACAAAACACACATTGGGATTAATGAGGAGTATGCAATGCAAAACCCCTGAAGTCCTCAGCAGCAGTCTACAAACTAGGAAAACATAAATGCAGGTAACACGAGGCTACAGGTTAAAACTGAAATCTAAGACTTGTTAAGTGTTTGTGTCATAAAAATAAATAAATAGAGCCATTCAGCTGTATATGAGATTTAATATAAAAAGTGAATAAACCTCCTAATTTTCTTCAACATCTCCCAATAGAAATAGGATAGTACTCCAAAGTTAGGAAAGACACCAAAACACCATGTGAGATTGCTATCGTCATACACCCATCCAGCAAAGCATCTCAGCCTGTAGAGTACAGGTGGCTGAATTAACTCCCCTACAGCTTAAGATCACCCCTCTGATAGAAAGACTCTAAAAAGCTTAGCTTTACAATGGGGGAAAACGAGACATATGTAATACTTTCAACAATAAAGAATTTAAAAAATAAATAAATAGCTTAGGTTTTAAAGGAAGGTCAAAGCCTCATTCATTGTGAAAGAGTAAGAAAAATGAAGCCATTAGGAAAAGGTTTCCAGAAAATATTAGCAGATGCTATACACAACGCTAATTAATTAGACTTGGCCCTATGCCAAGCTGAGGGCAGGATAAGCTGTAGTTCCCTTGAAAAGGGGTAAGTTACAATCCCCCCAAACCTCATGCCCATGGCCAGGAAGCGTAAATGCACCAAAGGAGACCACTCCCAACCTCACCACAGGGAAAGCCTCTGGTGGGAAAATTTTAAGGAGGTAGGTATGAATCAGACTATTGCTTTTTCTGAATTGTGTAGCAAACCTTGGGAAAATGGAGGAGGTAAGTGCTCTAAATAGTTGAACATGCCCGGCCAGTGTGGCTCAGAGGTTGAGCATCGACCCATGCACCAGGAGGTTGCCAGTTCGATTCCCAGTAGGGACACATGCCAGGGTTTCAGGCTGGATCCCCGGTAGGGGGCATGTATAAGGTAGCCGATTGATGTTGATGTTTCTCTCATTAATGTTTCTGCCTCTCTCACCCTCTCCCTTCCTCTCTCTCTAAAGTCAATAAAAACATATATTTAAAAAAATAGTTGAACACTTTCAAGTAGAAACCAGAGTGGGTATTTGACTTAGAGAGGCTCCTGGTTAAAGTTCACCATGAAGAAAGAAGAGAAGGAGGAGCAGATAGACCAATGGGGTTCAGCCAAAGGCTCTCCAAATAGACTGTTCTAGCTCTCAAACAACATACTGCTAGATCATTTTCAGTTTAATTTCTGGGAAATCTTCCAAAAGTGTTAGTATTAGGAGTAGGTATTCCAACTGAAAGGGGTGCAGATACTTCTGAATTCTCCAACAGCTAACCCTACTCTGATGAACCCAATCTCTGGGTTATCATCTTTCTGCTGTTACATTTAGATTTCAGGGCAAGAGTGAAATTCAGTGGCAGGAAGCTGCCCCATAGCCAGTGGGTGGGAATTATGTCCCTGAGAAGAGGGCAAGGCCCCAGAGGTTCATACTGAGCCAAGAGGTGTCTGCCACTTATCTTTGGCCTCCTGTAGCACAATGCTATACAGTTTTGATCAGGACTATGTTCTGAAACTTTGCTGCACATTAGATTCACCTAGAGGGCTTTAAGGAAAAATCCCAACGCCCAAGCATACCCAATTCCAATTAAACCAGAATCTCTGGGGGTGGAATCCAGGCACTGGCTCCAATGGACAGCCAAACTTGAGAACCCACTGCTCAAAACAATGCTTCCTATCCAAATACGTAACTCAGAAACAACTCCAAGGCTCTTTCTGATAGCCAGTTATAAAAAAATACAGGTAGCTGGCCCATGTGGCTCAGAGGTTGAGTGTAGACCTATGAACCAAGATTCTATCAGGGCACATGCCCAGCTTGTGGGCTTGATCCCCAGTAGGGGGCATGCAGGAAGCAGCCAATTAATGATTCTCATCATTGATGTTTCAATCTCTCTCTCTCTCCCTTTCTCTTCTTCTCTGAAATCAATAAAAATATTTTTTTAAAAAATACAGGTGGCAGAGAATCTGAAAAAGGGCAGGAAAACCAGAGACTAGAATTGCTGCTAAGAGTTATGTAGAGACAGATAGCAAGACAGCAGCAAAGTTTCGAACCCTGGTTAGAGTAATTTAGTAACCCAGAGACCTCCATCAATGCACCTTATAACAGATGTAGGGTATAACAACGTACATTTCTGTAACTACTTTAACTTTCCAAAGCTTTTTCATGTCTATCCTCACAACAATTCTGGTGGGCGTGTAGAAGAGGTATTATGAAGTGCATCTGACAGATGGAAAAACTAAAAACGGAGAAGTTAACTAACCGCCTAGGGCTCACAGTGGGTGTGTGATACAGCTACATCTGGAACCCGAGTCTTTCAACTGGCAGCCCTTCACCTCTTCTAACAGAACACATTACCATACGCTGTCCAAGTTCAGCACTACAACCTGGGGTAAGGGGCCAGCTTGTGCAAATGGCTCATGGAGAAATTTCTCTTCTCCCTCTGCTCCTTTAGAATTCTCTGCACATAAAATGAGCAGGGAGAAGAAATAGTGCTCTTTTCTGGGGTTCACTTATCTAAAACTAATGATTAAAAAAACATGAAAAAGCGAGGTCTTAGCTTATGTGAACCCAAAAGTATTCAAGGATGCCAAGGCCATTCCCAAAAGTAAAGCGGTCATAAAAGGTTTTGAAAAAGCCCTGGAAACCAAAAAGAAAGCATCATCTTACACTTGTACAAAATCAGAGTGCTGCCACACCAGGAATACTGCATTCACTTCTTGCCGCCATACCTCAAGGAAGACAATGTAGCTAGAAAAGGTCCAGAGAAGGACAAATAAGATGACCAAGGGCTCAAAGTGGCTTTCACATGACAATAAAACTTAAAATTAGACTCCTTAAAGTGAATTAACATGGGAGGGGGAGAAACTAGGATGAAGTCTGGGATAAATTTAAAAGACCAGTCTTCTACTTTACAAACACAGTAACTGAACATGAGTTATTAACCTCCAAGAAGTCATACTACCAAGTCTGAATTAAATACATTCCAGAAAACAGAATAAAAATGAACTGTTTGCTATAATTAGGGCAATAGAGAGCATTTCTCTAAATATCTGATTTCATTATGAAGGGCATAACCTCTGAAATGAAAACCTTTAATAACCACAGAAGACAAATTACTGAGAATAGACAGCAAAACTAAGCCAATATGTCTCTGGCGAACTTTTTGGGTCACCAACACAGGAGGGAGGAAGATTCTTACCACCCGGTTCCAGAGGGCACCCTGTTTACTTTGCATATCTGGAGTAAGGCGGATATATTGCGTCATCACCATGGCGTTGCCCATCAGATTCCACAATGCGGAACTGCTAGTGCCCACACCTACAGGGAGGAAGTAGATCTGTTCGTACTCTTCCAACACCAACCCATTCAGAAAGCCACCACACGGCCCTCCAAAAGCTGCAGTCATCTCTTCTTTCCCCTTTCATGTCAATTTCCCACCTATCACGCATCAATCTTAAATCCTTACCATCTTCGCAGCTTCTTTTCACAAAGCCCTTCTTAGGCGAAGACCCCACAGCACATCAGAGCTATCACTTTATCCAACCCTTTATCTCTGCCAGAGTAACCATAGCTCAGATCTATTCTTCCCTTTTTATATGTGAGTAAATTGTAGCTCCACGAAAGGAAAAAAAAAAAAAATCCCCGGTTAAACCAAAAAGAGCTTGATCCTTAGGCTTCTGGGGCTGAATCACATTCTTTAAACAATCTCAGCATGACTTTAGCAGATACGTCAGACTGTAACTGAGAGCGAGAGCTGTGTCTACAACCCACAGCATTAGCAGGGACCCACACCATGGCCACAGCCCGTGCACCTGCTAAGTGAACCCACCATCACCCGCGGCCGTAGGGAATGTGCTCTTCCACTGGAGTCTGTTTGCCTGTTTGCTGTCCCCCTGCCTACACTCCAGCGGGGAAACAGGCTTGTGTGAGTTAAGCCAGCTGCACTGCTTTGGTCCCCGTTGACGTCTCCGTACATGTTCTAGTTGACAGGCTGTGCCTAGAAGTCTATGACCCCTAACAGAGCAAAGCTGCCACCCCCGTCACCAACAGGACTCCTGAACTGGAGAAGAACAGGTGTTTCAACGCGCAACAGGATTTTGTCTTCTTTCTCCGTCGGGCCAAGCGCTGCCCCAGCCCCGCCTCCTGCTTTATTTCTGGCCCCTCTGTAACTCCAGCCGGAGACCGGCTCGTTGCTAGTGGCCCTCCATCACTCGCCCCCCTTCGCAGCTCTCTCTCCTTCCCACGCTCCTCCGGTCCGCCGCCGAGCTCTCCCGCGTTCAGGCCCAGCCCCGGCGGCATCCGAGGGCCCAGCGACGACCTGCTGGGAACCTCCAGCGCTGGTGCGGCGCCGGGAGTGGGAGGGAGGCGGACCCCTGCCCTTCGGACCCGTAGCTCCCAAACTTCGCGGGAGTCCCCGCGAGCCCCTACCCATCGCCGGCAGTGGCCGGGCCACGAAGCCCGTCGCCGCCCGCCTCTACCGAGGATCTCAGGTCGCGAAGCCCGCCCCATGCACGATCACCTCGTCCCGGGCGCCTCACCCTGGTAGGGCTTCGACAGCGAGTGTTCCCGCTTCAAGTACTCGAACGTCTGACCCGCCCCGACTTTTCGGGGCCCCTGCCCAGACCCCAACAAAAGGAGAAGGAGCAACATCCTGGACCCATCCCAAGCAGACAGACGCCGCCGCCACCGCCACCGCCGCCACCACCACCCAGAGGGGCCCAGAGTCGCCGCCATCTTTCTCACCACTGTCCCTTCACCAAAAGCCCGCCCCACCTCACAAGCCATTGGTCCATAGAACTACCTTCCCCGCGTCCCATTGGCTCTCATCGAGTCTCCGCCCCCGCAGGTGAGCATCTCACTGATTGGCTGGCTTGGTATAGTTGCCTTGCCAACCCAGGAAGGGGGCGTGGTCAAGTGCCTGCACTCCCTTATTAGTTAGCATTTGTCCTGAGTTCCGCTAGGCCTGCTGGGATACGTAGGGATTTCCATTTTTCTCTGCAAGCTAAAGAAAATTTAAAAAGATAAAATGTTTCTTTTGTGATCTAGAGTAGATTTAAAGATATAAGATGTTTCTTTCTGTTTCACGCAAACGTTCTAACCTCTGTGCCATAGTACCCTCTCCTCTGTGCAGAACTATCCATCAATCAGGATGATATGGAACTGAAAGGAGAAATAGACAAATACACAACTGAAGTAGCTGGAAAATTAGAAAATTTATAAAAGACTTGAACAGCACTATAGAACAACTTGACCTGATGACATTAATAGAAACCACACCCAACAACAGCAGAAGACACATAAGTGCAAAAGAAACATTTGCCAAGATATTGTGGGTCAAAACAACAAAAACCTTCAAAATTTTAAAGAATTGAAAGCACATAAAGCACGTGACAGAACTTGACTAGAAATCCATAACAGAATATTTCAGAGAAATCCCTAAATATTTGGAAATTGAACAACCAATCTATAATAATAAAAGTATAATATGCTAATTAGATGGGACGTCCTTCCAGATGACCTTCCAGACGAAGCCAGGGCTGTGAGGGAAGCCCAGGTCCTGGGTGCCAGAGGGAAGCCGGTGCCTGCAGCCGGGGAAAGGAAGGCCTACTCTTGCACGAATTTTGTGCATTGGGCCTCTAGTTTTTATATAACCCAGGAGAGTGTAGGAGGTACTAGAGGACTTAGCAAGTCCTCTAAGAAATGGAACACAGTAACTAACCCTTTACCTGGGTAAGCACAATAATACACTCAGTTCCCAAATCCAAAAAAGTGACAGTCATCCCAGTTTCTCCTTTACTCACCAATTCCACCATGCAACCAATAATTAATCAAGCCTTGATGACTTTATTCCTATTCTGCAAAGCCATCACATCCTGTCCATCCTCCAATTTATCTGGAACCACAAAATGTTTTTCTAGTATTGTTCTAGCCACCATCATCCACGTAGCCACCCAACTGATCTAAGCAATCCACCATGCCATTTCCTCAGTGTCGATGTTAAATAAGTCGAAACTGGTAAAGCTCTTAGAGTAGTGCCTGGTGCGTAGTAAGCACTATATCATTATCATCATCATTATTAACAGAGCCCTTTTCAGGTAACCATCACTGTAGGGAAAAGATTCAGGCCCCTTAACTTGGCACACAAAGCCCTCTGCCATTGACTCTGGTCCTCCTTGGCCTTATTGCCCTCAGCTCCCTCCCTTCATCTATATGCTCCAGCTTCCCCTCTTCCCTCTCCTTTTCCGCAGCCCATTCCTCATGGAGGCCTTCCTTGACTCCCTCCAGTAGGAGCAGGTGCTCCATTCTGAGCAGTGAGTGTGCCCAAGCACTTTGCCGATCTATGTTTCTATCCTTGTAATAGACTTAACCAAGGTTAACTCTTTTTTCCCCCCTAAGAATAAATATATTTAATAAGAGAAACTTTGAATGCAAGCCTGTTTTACAGGGGGTCAACTTTTAAAAATTAAAGCTGTCACAGCCCTTGATCTTTTACACACTCCACACAGAGCAGATGTCTAGTGATAAAACATGAGGAATTGCAAAGAATCTATTCCATGTCACACCCTCACTTTAAAACCATTCATGGGCTCCCAATTACCACAGAATAAAATCCAAACTCCTTAGTGTAGAATTCAAGGCCCTTCACAACCTGGCTCAAATCAGGTTGTACACGTGTCTATTACAGTGTGTCACCCCGAATAATGTAGCTCAATTAGCAGATTATGTTTGTCTCCAGGCAAGGCTGGGAGCTTCTGGACCACAGGAAGCAGATCTTACTCATTCCAGGCCCTGCCCACTTCCCCCTCTCTCTAACCCAGCGGTTCTCAACCTGTGGGTCGCGACCACTTTGGCGGTTGAACGACCCTTTCACAGGGGTCGCCTAAGACCATCCTGCATATCAGATATTTACATTACGATTCATAACAGTAGCAACATTACAGTTATGAAGTAGCAACGACAATAAATTTTTTTTATATTTTATTGATTTTTTTTTACAGAGAGGAAGGTGAAAGGGATAGAGTTAGAAACATCGATGAGAGAGAAACATCGATCAGCTGCCTCCTGCACACCTCCCACTGGGGATGTGCCCGAAACCAAGGTACATGCCCTTGACCGGAATCGAACCTGGGACCCTTCAGTCCGCAGGCCGACGCTCTATCGGTGACTGAGCCAAACCGGTTCAGGCAGCAACGAACATATTTTATGGTTGGGTCACAACATGAGGAACTGTATTTAAAGGGCCAGAAGGCTGAGAACCACTGCCTAACCCATTACCCAACACATGGAAGGGGTTCTAATTGTTTTGGATAAAATTATTTCCATTGTATTTCTATGTCAGCTGGAATTTTTATTGTGGTAAAATATACATTATTTGAAATTTCCATTTTAACTCCCCCCCCACCCCCCCACCCCGAATCTTCACCCATGGATACATTTTCACTGCTTTCTAGAGAGAGAAGGCAGAGACAGAGAGAGACATAGGTCAGTTGCCACACCCAAAACTTAGGTATGTGCCCTGATCAGGAATCAACCTGCATTTGGTATACGGGACAACATTCCAACCAACTGAGCCACCCAGCCAGGGCCCATTTAACCATTTTTAAATATACATTTCAGAGGCTTTAGTGCATTTATACTGCCAGCTGGATTTTTGATAGATTATCTCAGCAGATCTCTCATTGTAAAATTCATTATGATGAAGAAAAGGGGAATAAAGGAGAGCGGGTGAAAGACAAAATGCGCAGGACAATAAATTCAATGATTTTGTTCAGATTCTTGCAATAGGGAGAGTGATCATTAATGAGGAACGTATTAAAGAAAAGGAAGGTGGCCTGGTAAGGAGGTAACCAACAAGGTCTTATCTGAGTCATCGAAACAAGGTGTACGTGGATCTTACCTTGGAAAATTCTTTTATAGTCAGCCATTTCTCAGAATTCAAAATGGGGTGTTGGGGAGTCACAGAGGGTGGGGGAGGATTTCTTGACTGTAGCTGCTCTCCTGAAGTATGGGGTTCAGATAAAGCTCTACACTGTCAAGGTGTTGAGGGGAGGTGAAGGGAAAGAGAAAAAGGAGCCATGCCCCTCCAACACTGCTCTACACGTGTCTAGAACCTTCTGAAAGCCCAGTGAGGTCTTGACCTACCATCCTTTCAGCTGCTTAATATTCCTCTCTGTCTTGGTGGAATCATCTCCCATGACCCAGTGTTGCACACCTTCAGGGCGTGGGGCATTCATACACAATGCGATTTGTGGGTTCCAGCAGTTCTGGCTGATTCCCCTACTTTCCTGTCTTCAAAGCCAAACAGGTACCTTTACTTAGGAGCACCTTGAAGCCCAATGCCCAAGCTACCCTCCACGACAGAGACTCCAAGGCAGCCTCGTGGCCCCATCCTTCCCTCTCCCTCCCACTTTTCACTTCTTATTTTTTTCAATTAGCAATAATCATGCCTCGGATAAACCTCATTGGCTACGATACTGCCACTGCGCAAAGCTAGCACCCTCCCACCGCCAGGTCCATCATTCCTCCCTCCTCAGGGACCCAGTTTGGGCTCTGAGGTTGGGCCCATCTTCAGCCCAGGTCGAGGTTGGCCTGCCCCCTCCCTTCAGTTCTCTGAGCAGACCCTGGAGCATAGAATGGGACACCGACTAGCTACTTTCCAATGGTGACTTACAAATCTGGCCTCCTAACAAGCCTCAATTAAATAGCCAGGAGTGCTTTTGGCATCCCCAGATTCCTGGTTCCCACTCCCAGACACCTAATTCATCGGTCTGGGGTAGGACCCAGGGGTTTGGTTTTGAAAATATCTCCCCAGAGAGTTTGATATGCGGCCAATTTCCAGAACCAGGGCCCTCTCACATCTAGGATCTCATTGCGACGTCACGATGTCTTGGTGTGGTGGGCATTTGTACTCAGTTCAGAGACTGAATTTCAAGCAGGATACAGCATCTGAATTGAGAGATAGCATTTAGAGATTTGCTTTAAAATAGTCTGGGGGGCCCTAACCGGTTTGGCTCAATGGATGGAGTGTCGGCCTGCGGACTCAAGGGTCCCGGGTTCGATTCCAGTCAAGGGCATGTACCTTGGTTGCGGGCACATCCCCAGTGGGGAGTGTGCAGGAGGCAGCTGATCGATGTTTCTAACTCTCTATCCCTCTCCCTTCCTCACTGTAAAAAATCAATAAAATATTAAAAGAAAAAAAATAGAATAGTCTGGGGGAAATTGTGTGCGTGTTGGGGGGAGGGTGGGATAGATGAAAAAAGCAGGATGTTGATGGATGTTGAAGCGGGATTATGGGTATGTGCGGAGTTCCTCCAGCTCTGTAATAAAAAGCTTTTAAAAATCTCCCTTGGAGATGATTAGGAAATACGCTGGGTATGCATTTATGTTGTTTTCTAAGTTTTCTCCAAGGAATGAAAACTGTAATTAACTATAATCTAGTAAAGTTCATTGTGGCCCATTCAATACAGTGTTTTCATAACTAAAAAGAAAGAGTCTGCAATCTAGAGGAACAGGCAGGGGATGAGAAT